TTGAATATGAACCTCCTCGAAAATGCCAATATTGAATTAGTCCCCTCTAGAAATGCTCCAGCTGCCCCACAGTATCCTAGGTTACAAATTAGTGCATCTACTGGTCTGATGGCTATCAAGTAAAAAACATTCACTCCCTTGCAGGATAGCACCTAATATCTAACTATTTTTGATTTTTATCCTAAGACTATACTGCACTATTGCATATACCCTGTGTGTCGCTGTTGGATTCGAATGTAGATCATTGATATATATATATATGTGTGTATCTGCTTATATTGTGTGAGTATTGACAACAGGTGATGTTGTGTTGATTTCTATCATCATGAAGTTTAAGTACCTTTGTGGTTATGCAGATGTGTGATTAGGCTTTACAGGTGCGTGCTTTGTTCTTTGCTTTACTCCTGTGCTTAGTGTTTTTGCTGAAGACTGGTTGTTTTTGCCTTGCTGTTGAAAGGAAGCTGTGGAGAAGAACAAACAAAAAAGGAAAAGGGACAACACCAATTCAGGAGACAACATTTTATTTAAGTCCCCCTATCAACAACAAGATCCTAAATCGCGCAAAAATACATACAATACACAATACGCGCGCCTAAACTAAATCTCCCACAGTGTGAAAGCTGTCCAGGCTAATATTATCCACTGGATCAGGCCTGGGAGTCTGGTTCCTTGGGATGGTCCTGGCCCGGCTAGAACGAATCTTCCGAGCTAATATTATCCACTGGATCAGGCATGGGAGCCGGGTTCCTTGGGATGGTCCTGGCCCGGCTAGAACGAATCTTCCGCAGCATCCAGGCACGCAGCAGGGGCCACCCCAGCCGCGCAAAGACCTCCGCTGCATCTAGTTGCTCTGACCGGACCTAAGTTGCTAAAGATGGTAGCTCATCCATTTCCATCTCCTCAAAGGACGGATTGGGAAATGAACGAGTTTCATCTTGTCTATTTATGTTAATCTCGTTAACAGCCCTTTCCTTCTATTTTATGCACAAAGAAAAAAGCAGAAGCCAAAGCGAAACCACAGGCACCAAGGTTAACTCAAAATCTTTTATCCAGTGCTGAAGCCAACGCACCTTGCATTTGATCTTTCTGCAACAGCAGACTACCCCGGCGATGAGAGAAGAGCCGACACCCAAGGCACTGCCTACCCAAGTTAGGACATCTAACCAGAACGACAGGGGCGAGAATTCTGCCTGCACTATGGTGCCATCCGGACGCCGAGCCGTCAAGTTAAACCCGTCGAACTGACCCAAATCATCCAAAATGTTGGAAAGATTCTGGGAAACCTCAGCAGAGGGTACGGGAGAGGACGGAATTGGAACCCCGGCATCCAGAGGCTTCATCACAGTTGGGACTGGAGTCCAGGAGGGTGCTGGAACTGATGAAGATGCTGGAAGGATAGTGGTCACTCTGGTTGTTGGCTGTTGTCTGGTTGTTGGAACCAAAGATGCAGTCATCAATGGCTCAGTTGTGGTGCTTGCCCGTGTTGGGATTGGCGAAGACTTGGTTGTGAGAGGATTGGTAGTGGTGGTGGCTGCTGTGGTTGTAGTCATCACAGGAACCATTATCCTTGTTGATCCAGCAGGAGCCTGTCTGGTTGGTTGTATCTTCTCCTGGTTTGTTGTATCCTCCTCTTGTGGCAGACTTTGATTGTCTTCAAGTTCTTGGACTTGTGCAGGTTTTTCTGAAATTTGGAACCAAAGAAATTTATTAATCAAATCCATATTTCAACTAGTGAAAGAGAGTACTCACTTTCATGCTTGAAGAAGCACAGTTCCCAAGGCTGAACCACCTTTTCCATGCCTTGAGTTTTTCCTTTGCAATATGTCTTGGCAAACAACTTGACCACCTGGAAAAACAAGTCTAATTATTTTCTTGTTACAGAAATTTTTGGAAAGAGCTGAGGAAAACTACAAACCTTCAATCCTTTGTACCGCACACAATCCAGATCCAACCTGGTGCCTTGAAAGTCGACCGCATGTCCAAACCTGCCAGGCTTTTTGACGTCACACACATCTTCGCACACTAGAGTGCCTGCAACATTGCTGCAAGCCTCCAAGTGTCCACTCATCACCTGAAATGCCACATACAAGAGAAAGATGAAATTTTTGGGTTTTTAGGGCACTTTTTGTTTCAAAAACTTACCAAATATAAGATAGATGTCGCTGCTAGCCAAGTGAAAAATCCCATCTTTTGTTTGTTTTGGNCCCGCATAGCAACTCGCTGCCCCGAAGCAGACAATGACGTTGCGTGTCCTCGATACACTGTCTGGTTTGCGGTCATTTGCCCGGTCCCCTTTCTGTTTTCCCCGTTCTAGTTGCGCAGACGCGTCTGGCTCGATCCGCATCTATAAAGGTACCGCGAAGTGTATATGTCAGCATTCATTGCTGGTTTGACTCTTGTTGGAGAAGCTCACGAAATATATACGTATTCACTTTACCGAGAAGTCTAGATTCACTTTGCCCCGGCCATAAAGAATTAGAATTCTTCTCGACAGAACGTTATCTTGGAAGGAACTAAATTTTAGATTAATCGCGTAAGAAAGAGAGACGTTTCTTTCTGCACGAAAGTGTCTGGAGTTTTATTCTTTCGCCGATTTGGGATAACAAAGTATTAATTTTCATTCCTAAAAGACCATGAATGCCTTACCAATTTTATGGAGTCACAACATTACATTAGAGACGTGCAGGAATGCGTTATTTTCTCTATCCTAGAAAATTATTCGTGAAGTGGAAAGGTTTACAACTTTTGACCCGCGAAAGTGAATAAATCAGTTTCTTGCAACATCTTAAATTTCTTCAGAGCTAAAAATTCGCAATTTTTTTACTTTCGACATATGAGAATGAACGATTTCAAGTTTTTAAAAAACATGAACGAACACTGTAACTACAGTATTAAGAAAAGACAGTTTACATACAGCCGAAGAGACGCTGACAACCGATGGCGATCAACCCCAAACACTATTCTTACCATAGCTAAGCAAAATAAATAAATAAACGTACCGTGCTTTTTCTTTGGCGGCAACGGGGGTCGCCAATCATCATCAAAAGATCCCCCAGACGACTCCGTATTGGGGGAACAAACCTTCGACCGGGGTAAATTGAGGTTATCGTAATGTGATGGTCCAGCTTGCGGAGCACGAGACTTGGCAGGCAACGCGGGCGGTGGACTAGCAGGCGGCGCTGACGTGGCGCCCGGGTGCAACGACATGGACGAAGACGCCGTCGTTGACGCTTGATACCTCGACGCTGTTGTCGTCACAGTCCCGCCGGCAAACATTTGACGCGTCTCGGAAGAGAATGAAGATGACGACGATGAGGCTGACATGGCAACAAATGCCATGTTGGAGCCCTGCGCGGATGGAGGACCCAACAAATTCCGACGCTCTTTCGGGGTTGATGTTGATGCCGGGTTGACAGACATTTCCGACAATTGGTGCAGCTCTTGAGCAATCGCGTGCAAATTCTCAAACGGGTCACAGCTGGCGGATAGTGCTGCTGTCGGAGATCTCATGTGACGTTCGTCGTCCCCGAACGACCTGTGGATCATTTCATCATACCAATCACTGATGGTCCCAATCAATAGGTCCCAAAAATGGGACCTATTCAGCAAATAATTTTTGTTCCCGTGGGATTAGTCCTAACAATGAAATTAGCCTTCATCGAAACGTATCGTAATTTGAAAAAAGGACAGCTTTCTAAATGGCAAAAATGAAATACTGTACGGTAGATCATCGTCTTGGAAACCCGTCTTGGAAAAACCAAACGTTTATTGTGCCCGAATTTCGAATCAATTAAAAGCAACAGAGCGAATGAATTTGACTCGCTTGACTTTCCTCTTCTTGGCTCAAATTTGCGATCATAATCCACAATAAATTCGGGGCAAATAAGTTGAATCGCCGAGTTTGCTGAATATTGTTGAATGTTTGGTTGATGCGCGGCATTTTTTAAAAATTTGATGACCCATTACATTTCAGCATCTGGGGAAAAGCGACAAATTTTACGGAAATTGATTTTAAAAATCGTACAGTACGTGGGAGGTCGATATGAACTCTCGGAAACCATCAGGAGATGCCAGAAAAAATTATACGGACTAGGGGATTTTCGCAGAATACCGTAATTAGTACTGTAGAAGACGCGTCTTGAAAAAAAAATGAAAAAAAAACGGAATGAATACATTCACGCGAGAAAAAAAAATTAGGAGAAAATATAAACCTATGTACCTGTTTGAGAACATAGGAGTAGAGAATGCCGAGTCTCCAGAACAGGCCGACATTGAGTCGTCCAACGGCGACTGACTAGACGATTGCGAGACATTCCCGCCACTAGAAACCCGTCGCCAAGAGCAGGACCGAGCCTTAACCAGCGACGATGACCCCGTCGAGTCGAACGACGTCAAATAAGGCGGCGGGGTATGGGAATGATGTTGATGGCCGCTGCCAGAGAAGAATCCACCCGACGACGGCCCGGCTTGCGACGGAGACGCCGCTTTCCATTCGCCCGATGAACTGTGTCGCTCGTGCCGCCATAACATGGCTTGTGGGTCGCCGCCAATGTCCGTACGTCTCGGTGGCGGCAACGGCGGAGGTTGTCCGTTACCCGCACTGTATGCCAGACTTGAAGACGAAAACGGATTCGCGGGACTGCCACCGATTGTGTTTAGGATTTGACGCCGTTTTGGTGGCAACGGCGGAGCTACACATGAATCTAAACTGCTGTCCAGAACATCTTTACTGCAAGAAAAAAGAAAACAAGCCAAATAATCAGATATTGTAATTGAGCCAAAATTAGCGCACCGTAAATGTGTCACTCAGCACCCAACACTCGACGTTCCCAACATTATCTGTCACAATTTCTGAATATACAACATACCCCAAAATGCATAGCTTAAACCAGACATTATCCACCGGTGCTCCGCGGCTGCTCCAATAATATTGAAAAACGTGAATGATGGGGGAGAATACGAAACAAAAATACTGCATAGTAAAATATCATCAAGTAAAATTGTCTTCCAGAGGGATATTCAATTATTCTGCCGGTGGATCGAACGCAGAAGGGGGAAAAAAAACGCAGCCAACACTTCAAAGCCTGTGATTCAAGATAAGTGAAGTAGATCAACTGATTTCAAAAAAGGTTCCCTTCAACCAGAAAGATTTAAAATGGCTGACATAAAACATCGCAAAATTTCAAAAAAGATATCCTTGAACCATTCTCGACTCCTGGACAAAGGATTATCAAGTAATTATACTCTACAGTAATTGAAACATTTCACTACAAAACGCATCACCTCCATAGAGCAAGAACAAAAAATTGCTCAAAGCCTTTCGAACCACGATGTGAATTTTTTTATTTTTTACAGGCTCTAGTTCCTTAGCGTAGGTTTAGAATAGCGATCCATTGTAAGTATTTCAGCGATGAAAAGAGATACAATACAGCAATGAGTGGTAATTATTCCGGATTCAGCAAAAGATCAATTGTGACGCGCCTGCGGGGGACGGTAGGGCAGCACTTACGAGAGCGGTGGCGGCTTCGGTGGGGGCGGTGGAGGCGTCATATACGGCAGCGACCCGCTGACGGGGCGCCCACCGGCATCCAAAATGGAATCCGACGAGTGGGAATGCACCAACTTGGACTTTTCCGGCATGGGTGGCGCCGGTGGGCGCTTGGGCGGCGTCGGTGGACGCTGATGGTGTAGTCGGTGGTGCAGGTTATGATGGTGGTGGTGATGATGGTGATGGTGGTGACCACCGCTGCCGACGACCACGTCCGTTTTCATCACAATTTCGGGCAAGGATTTCCGCTGCACGATCTCGGTTGGCACTGAGAGCTTGTTGGCGCTTTCGCCCCAGTCCACAGACGCGGAGCACTTGACGGCGCCGAGCTTCGACCGCCTCGTGCTCGAGTCACTCCGCGTCTCGTCAAGATCAAAATCCGAACTCGAATCTACTGAAACACTACTGTCTCTGGCGGCGAGTTTCTCTTCGACTGTATCCACAAGACACTGCAAAGGAAAAAATAAAACCACGATCTTTTTCATCTTCGAAAGCCACACCTCAAAACCAAACCCTAGCTAGCGAGTACTTGCATGACAACAGGCATTTTTTTTCCTTTTAAATTATTCAAAAATTGACTATCCGGAGTAGAGAAGATCCGACGCTCCATGCTCAGCCCTTTTTAACGGAACTGCGACAATGAGCTTAGCTTCAAAAAGGAAAATTTTCCATTTGAGCATAATGAATCACGAAAACGATGACTTTTTTCCAATTAGTTTAAGAAAAGGTGTCCTTGAGAGCATGGGCTGAGCAACACAGTTTCAAGAATTGATGCCCACTCATTTCCTCTACAAATAAAAAAAACTCTCCACTTGCTTCAAACGCTGATTCACAGTTTCTTATAAACGATGATGTCGAATAAAATACTGTACATTGAAAAAATGAGAGGGGCGCTTGACTTGAAAGTTTTATAAATTTATCAACAAGCATTTGGCAATTTTTAGACTTTTAAAGATATTCTGTAACATCTTTACTGAACATTTCTCAGCTATTATCCTTGAACTGAACTCAGCAATACGTACAATTCCGTTCTTTCTTGTACCTTAAATACTCTTAGCACAGCATTGGTGATACAGGGACGTATGCTTGGTTGCATATTTTTGAAACTGGGAGAACCTCGATTCAAAAAATTTAAAGAAATCAACTCTGAAACAACGCGGGAATGGAAGGCTTCATGAGTGACGAGTTGTTGGACGATTTCTTTCTTCCGAAATCCATGGTTTTACATTGGGTCGATAGAAAATGTTGAAAAAATTTCCGATTCTGGAGATCGGAAATTATCCAGACAAATCCCCGGAACTTATATTGTACAGTACTGTAATACAATCAAGACTGCTTAAATTTTGGGAGGAATCCCCGTCTAGAAAAATAATAATTGAGCTTCGAGCGACAGTCTCAAGAAACCCTCATAGGTGACGTTTTTTCTTTTCTTTCTCTTTTACAACGTCTGGATATTCTCATCCGTCAAGATCCAAATCGAAGACTGAAACCATCAAGTGAGCATTGTTCGCTCATTATCAGGAACAGTGATTTTCTCTCACTCGAGAACCAGCTGCCACCGACCCGCATTCCGCAGTAGCACGACCCGCAATATGCATGAGAAACGAGTTCATTGTCGTTCAAGACTTCGCCGAGCTGACAGACCAAAAATAGGCATTCGGCCGACATAAGAGCCCAGGTGGTCACCAGACAAATGGCAGCACACATTTACACAAGGTAATGCGTCCCAAAGTTCAGGCATAATCTCAGTTTGGTGCTCAGAAAATTATTTGTTTCGGCTACTGAATTGTGTTGGTCAATTACTCGATGGAAAAGGGGGGAAATTTAATTCATGCGTGAGCATTTACCGCTCTCAGAAAATCACATAAAAGCAACACTAAATTTCATCGACTTAGCCTTTCATCGCTCTTTTTTTGTTTGGAAATCGCTCAAATGAAGCGAATCAAGAAAACTTTACAATATCAAGGAACTACAGTATAGTCCTCGGCACAATGGCAGGTTTTTCTCTTTCGGTTCTTCATTTCCAACATTTACCAGCCAAATTATTTTAAAATAAAACCTATGAACAGGAATAAAACCGCATTCTGCTTTTTGGGGGGGGGGGGGCTGAGGAGCGCGAAGAGGCTTAATAATTTGGGACGACTTATTTCAACAAAATGGTCCATCGCAGAGAGAAAGTCCAACGCCGACTTCGAAAGATATAATTTTTCCTAAATGACGAGCGCAACAATTTTTTGTCATAATTTGGCTCAAATGAAAGTAAGGTGCAAAAAAAAATTACGAGCAGATGTTGCTAACTGGCTTTCGTTGCTAACGAGCAAGTCTTTTGCTCGACTCGACTTTACTCCCAAATGATGCCGGGGTAACTCACATCCACGGCGGGCAACAACCGCATTTAATGACCAGCAGGTTGAAAGAACAAATGGAAGGGCTCACGGGAAATTTTGACAAGCATGCAACAACAAAAATAAATAAATGAAAATCACGACGCACTGCACGAGTCAGATGGAAGGAACCGAGGCTGGGCGAGGTCAATCACGATCTCTCTTCATCGTGTATAAGCCAGAGCTCGTTAATTTGCTCACGTGTCGTAATCTCGGCTGACGCCAAGCCGGGCACGACTTCCACAACCAATCATCCACATCCTCAACAAACCCGCAAATCCAATCTTTCCTCTCCAAGCAAAGCCCACAACCCCCAATAAATTCCTTCATTTAAAGCGTCCCGAAAGCCATCCTTAGTAAATTTACTAGCATGAAGAATCCCGTATTTATGCAAATTTCAGGCGCATTATTCTCCAATCCGACTCGCGAAATTCGAGGTGTCTGGAAATCGATGGCGCCTAGAAATAGCAAGCGAAATGCTAGTTAGCGTGGTGGCGGAAAAAATCCAAACATTCAAATAACTGATATCTTATTGAACATATTTTAACTGACAAGAAAAGCATGTGAAGCATTATTTGAAATAAATAAATGCATCTGAAAACTCGAAGTAAACCTGTAAAAAAATCAAGGAAACTCGTATCCCTGGCCGGTTTTTTTTCTAGGAATACGATCGTCAAAATATTGCCTATAAATTTAGTTGCGTTCTTCCCAAAAGAAAATATATGCAGCAATTTTAAATTCGGATACATAAAGATGATTCACATGATACTGTAGTCGAAGTACGTGAACATACTCAAGTGAATACAACCTCAACTCATTTGAAATCTTTCTAGCCTTGAAAATTAATCATCAGCACGATTTTAAAAGCTTTCAACAAAAAAAAAAGATTTCACATAAGCACAAACGAAAAGAAAGCCTCCTGGAAAAATAATGCATTTTCTGTTCGCTTTTTTAAAATGAGCATGGTTGAGAAGGAATTATACTCCTGATAAAGTCTTCCGAAAAAAACTGACTTCATCCCAAGTCTGTCATTTCAATGAACATGAATTATTTACAAACAATACAGTGACTCTTCCTCCAGTTTTTGAGCAACAAAAGAATCTAAATCATTTTTCCATCGACGGGAACTCATTTCCGCGAACGATTTGGTAAACCCAATTGAAGTAATGAACCATAAAAAAATGTCCGAGTGCAATTGAAAACGCAAGCTCAAAACGAGCCCCAATTCAAGCGCAGAGCCAGAGGCATATCAGAGCACGCTTGTTATCGCACAAACCGAGACCTTTCAGTCAACCACAGGAAAAAAAAGGGAAGAGACGAGACTTTTCAAGAGGTACACAGATACGCAGTTTCTTCGAAAGGATTGCTCAGACTCACACCAACTCGGTTTATCGCTGATTAAATACTGAATCCGGCTGACACGAGGAACAAGCTTCCCTCGCGAAGAAGCACTTCCTTTTCAGGCCGTTTAATCGGCCGGTGATTCACCCGTCCCACGATTCCATGTCAATACCGAAACCGTGTCAAGCGAAGCATCAATTTTTCGAGCCAAAAAAAAAAAAAAAAAAACACTCGGTTGACAAAAAATAAAATGAAAATAACAGACTCCCTACAAGAGCACATGCTTATCGACCCGTGAATTCGCGATAACCCTTTTCATCGATTCGCCACGCAGTGAGAGAGAACCGAAGTCGGGTCTAGGATAATTTTAAATTGGCTCTCACAACCGCGCGTGAATACGAAGCCCGAATCGCAATAACCTAGATTGCAAAATCCCCAGAAAAATTCTCATCGCCTTTAGAAAGTGAGCAACCGGGAAATATATGCGCTAATCGCCACATTCAGAAATCACGGGACGCAATAAATTATATGTCAATGCCCGAAGAACCAAAAAATATCTCGCACCATTAGCGTGTCTCGGAAGCCCATCAAGATTCGCGAATGGACGACTTCTGTTCGTGATTTGATGCCAGTGGGTCACCTTCATCCTCAAAAAAAAAAAGGAACCACATAAGACCTGCATTTACACGATCAAATGCGGATTCAGATGGCTTAAAAAAAAAATGCATATAGCCACTTGAACAGTCTTCACGTAGCCTTTAAATACGCCACTTGAAGAAAATACGGTTTGATAAGCATGAACCATACGGACATTCTCAATCCGCTGGGTGGTGGTAATAAAACCTTACAGCGAAGACCGTTTAATAGTTATAAATTTGATACCGCATTACCATATGACCTCCATGAATCAAACTAATTCGCTCACATGCCATTCCCAGAGAAAAATGAGAGTCCTTATCCAATTATTACACAGCATTTAATTAAATATAAAGACGCCGTCGGTTAAAAGGCGTCTGTACTTGTCGCGCCTCGAAAATAAAATAAAACATTTTGTGAGCGAAAATAAGACAACAATGAAAAATAAGTCCGAATTTTAAAATTCCATGCCATAAACTAAAATTGGTCGTGAGTAATCGATTAATACAAGTTCAGCTTTGATTTTTATTTCCAAGATTATATTCGACATGAGTAGGGATGCACTTTGCCTGCGAATCTGAGACACCATAAAATAAAAAAATGTCTCTGCCTACGACCCAGGATGGGTCGTAGGCAGAGACATTTGCAAAGGCATTTTTGAGAGGGAAAATACGTCTTATATTCGATGAAAGAAGGCTTGGACAATGGAAAAAATTTAAAGATTCAGGCTCAAAAGTAACGCGGCTGCAAATCTTGAAAAATACCACACGAGACCATGCACATCTCGTGCTCATGAAAATATAACAAGCAATTTTTTCCATTTTTCCTAATCGGAAAAATCAGGGTGTGTACCAGATTTGATGAGTTTCAAAAACTGCAAACGGCGAAATCAAAATGGTCACCAAAAAATATTCAATCTATGGGGAATACTTCAACCTTGAAAAATCTTTCTCAACTACAGAGGCATTATAGAATCAAGATAATAAATCACAATGACTGACAACTCGAAACGCAAATCTGAAAAAGCATAAAATAAATCACGCAGCTATTTCAACATTATTGACTGTCATAAAACAGTAATGCTCGCA